TTTGCTCGTTCGGACAGCTTCAGTCGTCTTACCGCTCGCCCCAGAGCCCGTGAAAATCCACACGTGCGAAACACGTGTGGCGATCCGGGTTGCCCACTGACTCAAGGTCGGGCAGGTTCTGTTATGGGCGATAGGAGAGGAAAACCAAAGGGCATTAAAAAATTAATTTCAATCGAGTATCACCAGATTCACAACTTTATTTCTCTTTGTTCAATAATACTAAGTTCAATAATACAAAGAGAAAGTTACGGCCGAGAGATTTCGCTAGAAACTTCGCGTTCGCGATGGGAGAGAGAAAAAACACGCACTATCTAATTTTATAATCGGTCGCACGCAATTACAAATGTTGTCGGAGACTTACGTCGCGGGAACGAGTTGACGCAGATCTCGGCGTGCTGTCGACGATGTCCACGGATCTCGCTGACTCCTTGGTCCTTCTTTCTGGCGCTTTCTTTAGGCGAGGTTTTCACTGCCCGGATTTACAGTTGCCCGCAATCCTCGATTGTCACCTCAGATCGCTCTGGGCAACCAAATATGTTGGGCAGTGAAAGATCCTTTCTTCGCCACTTTTTCCGCCTTCAGAAATGATTCTCCTATAACCAACACTAAGTCGCTCGGAAGTTCTTTTTCTTTCTTTTCTGCAATAGCCTTAGCATCGTACTTTTCTAGCTGCCGGAGTGACCGCACGCGATGCTCTCCTCTCTCGCCGCCTTGCACACGCCGGCCGGCGGCTCTCTCTGCCGAAAACTTCTTTGGACATCTATTAATGTTTGTGGGTTTATATATATGGAATGGGTGAAAATCGAGGGAAAGCGCGGAATCGAGACGGGACCAAGTGGAAACTGTTTTTTAGCCAAAAATAAGCATGTAAATCGGTTTTTCATTTTTACCGCTCGTTTAAGGTTATTCAATAATAACCTAATAAACCAATAACCTTTTTGGGACTTGTAAAAATTTCCATGACGGAATAAACCAATAACCTTATTCGGACTTGTCGATATTTCGATGACCGAGTAATCCAATAACCTTGTCGGAACTTGTCGAAATTTCGGCAAACTGGATAAACCAATAACCTATTCCGGTCATGTCAAAGTTTCGGCTAAACGGATAAACCAATAACCTTATTCGGACTTGTCGAAATTTCGATTACCGAATAAACACCAATAACCTTTTACGGACTTGTCGAAATTTCGATTACTGAATAATCCAATAACCCAACCCAATAAGCTTGTCGGGATTCGTCAACGTTTCGGCAAAATGGATAAATCAATAAATCTTTTTGGGACTTGTAAAAATTTCGGTGATCGAATAATCCTATAACCTTTCTTGGTATTTACGGGTTTCTTGCCATTATTTCGTCATTTTGAAAAAGGATATGTAATCTACGGCAAAAATTTCGTTCATCGAATAAACTAATAAACCTCTTTTTTTTCCATTTTTGTTGATTTTTTTTAACCTCGCAAAAGCAATGCGTATTGACTTTGACACGTCTGATTTATGTAATTTGTTGTGTTAGTCGCACATTATAACCCAACCCAGAAGGCCAATGAACAAATCATGTCAAATAACCCAATAACCCAAGTAGACCCGAATTCCCTGTCAAATATCGGTAGAAATCGATTTTTTTGGTTTTTTTTGGCATTCGCGCGCGAAAATCTACCGATTTATGAAAAAACAATTGTGGGGTTATCGGTATAACCCAACCCAAATGAATTCCCTGTCAAAAATCGGTAGAAATCGATTTTTTTGGTTTTTTTGGCATCCGCGCGCGAAAATCTACCGATTTATGAAAAAAAAATTGTGGCGTTATCGGTATAACCCAAATAACCCCAAATAACCATTTCGATTTTGGGTTATTGGGTTATTGCCATTATTGCTACTATATTTTTTTTAAACCTTACTAAAGCAATGCGCATGGACTTTGGTATTTTTTTGAACCTCACAAAAGCAATGCGCATGGACTTTGATCATCTTCATCAATTTCACGAAATTTCATGATTTTTCACATTTTTCATCATTTTATCGAAATTTCATGAATTTTCACTTTTTTCGTGAATTTGTCGAAATTTCAAGATTTTTCACTTTTTTCACTTTTTTCGTCATTTTCACGAAATTTCATGATTTTTCACATTTTTTTTGAACTCTCAATATCAATGCGCATGGACTCCAAATATTGAATCAAAAAAATGTGCAGCGTTATCTATTGAATAGAGCTTGGAAAACCAAAAAGATAGAGCCCCGGCAGATCTCCGGGGGTTGATCGGAAGGGATGAAAATCGAGTTTGAACGATGGCAACGGAAAAGGTGTCGCACCCGATGGTGTTTCATTATGCGCGTTCTCACCTTCGTACCAACCGAGAGAAAAAGGCCCGTTTCCGTTGCAATCACTTAAACTCGATTTTCATCCCTTAGGATAAACCCAACACACAGGTCTGCCGGGGCTCTATCTCTTTGGTTTTCCAAGCTCCTTCCAATAGGTAACGCTTTTTCGAGAAAAGTGGCTTTTCACCCCCGAAATTTATGATTTTCGACTTTCCAAGGGTACCATGGTATAGAAGGCCAATAGTCAGAGGGGCTTCACGGATTGACTTTTTTTCAATTAACGACTCCTTCCCCGCGAAAAAGGCCCGTTTCCGTTGCCATCGCTCAAATGCGATTTTCATCCCTTCCGATCAACCCCCGGAGGTCTGCCGCGGCTCTATTTCTCTGGTTTTCCAAGCTCTTTCCAATAGGTAACGCTGCACATTTTTAGAATTTTTTTAAATACATTTTTCTTCATTTTTTTTCGAGAAAAGTGGCTTTTCACCCCTGAAATTTCTGTTTTTCGACTTTCCAAGGGTACCATTGTATAGAAGGCCAATATTCAGGGGGGCTTCACGGATTGACTTTTTTTCGATTAACGACTCCTTCCCCGCGAAAACGGCCCGTTTCCGTTACGATCACTTAAACTCGATTTTCATCCCTTACGATCAACCTCTGCAGGTCTGCCGGGGCTCTATCTCTTTGATTTTTCGAGCAAAAAAAAGTCAATCCGTGAAGCCCCCCTGAATATTGGCCTTCTATACAAAGGTACCCTTGGAATGTCGAAAATCAGAAAATTCGGGGGTGAAAAGCCAATTTTCTCGAAAATAAATGAAGAAAAATGTATTTACAAAAATTCTAAAAATGTGCAGCGTTACCTATTGGAAATAGCTTGGAAAACCAAAGACATAGAGCCCCGGCAGACCTCCGAAGGTTGATCGGAAGGGATGAAAATCGCGTTTGAGCGATGGCTTCAGCATGGCTGAAGAAAAAAAAATCAAGCTCTATCCAATAGGTAACGCTGCATATTTTGTGAGAATTTTTTAGATATCATTTTTCAACGTTATTCTTCGTCTCTGGGAATTGGGCAATTCGCAACTGATAGAGGACGACGCATGTCTGGATGAGCAGAAATTCTTGTACGAAATGATGCTGGGTAGATTGCTCGATTGTCAATTTATATATATTTTTTCCGACACTGCGTGCGCAAAATGCGTCTTTTCCGCACGTTCAGCAGAAAACGTGCGTTGAAAATCGTGATTTACAGACGTTGCATAAAAAAATACCCTGTACCAGTGTATAGCATGTTCGTTATTCGATGATCGTAATAATTTCAATAAAATTCGAAACAGTCATTTAAATTGGCATGGAGAAACGTCTCGAAACTAGTTTGAATGAAGTATATTCATTCGGCTTGTTTTGCATTTCTTTCCTAATTTTTATTCATACGTTTAAGTATAAATAGTAAATCCTTCTGTAGCCTTATATCAGTTCTTTTTTTTTGTTTAAATCGCCATTGTTGTAATAATGAAAATTAACAAATCGGTCCAAGGGCATTCGATCGTTATTAAGTTATATTTTCTCATTATGATACAAGGCTTTACATATTTTGGCTTTTTAACAATTAAAATGACGTTTCATTTCCAGCACGAGAAAAGCCAAAGGCCGGTGGCGGTGGTGGGGGGGCCTCCCTCGCGCGCTTGGAAATATTGAAAGTCCGCGTTCAAATCGACGCGCTTCGCAAAAATCAGGCCTATCTCGCGAACTATTGCATCAAATTCGATCATTTTTTTTTTAATTTGGGGTAGCTTCAAAATTTATTGAGATTGGTGTAGTTTAGATTGTTGTATGATTTCTTATTTTCTAATCATGTAAACTATAGCCTACTTATGCATATAAATTAAAATATTGTTATTAATAATTAAAAATATATTGATTATTATTTATCCTTATCCATATTTAAGGATAGCAAGTAATAATTAATTGGAATTTATACATACACTGATATGTATGAATTCAATTAAGTTAATAATAAACGATTGGCACTATATATAGTAATTACAACTACACCAATCTCAATAAATTTTGAAGCTACCCCAAATTAAAAAAAAATGATCGAATTTGATGCAATAGTTCGTGGGATAAGCCTGATTTTTGCGAAGCGCGTCGATTTGAACGCGGACTTTCAGTATTTCCAAGCGCGCGAGGGAGGCCCCCCACCACCGCCTCCGGCCTTTGGCGTTCAAACGATGATTTATTAAAGGACGCGTTACGTTTAATTACATTTTTTCGGGTTATCCTTTTTAAAATTCGTATACTTGCAGGATAACGACATATCGATAAGATTACAATTACATACGAGGAAGAATGGTAGACGTTGCGTATTTTCCGCACGGATGTCATTAGTGGAGGAAAGGGAAGCGCGTTGCACCGATATTGCGTACTCAGTGGGGAAACCCACGGCGGCGCGGAAAAACATTCGGCGGAATTGCGTCTCGTATGAAAGTACTTGTAAAAGGTGTGTAGCTAATTACCTCTCTTGGGTATATAAGTCAGCTCCTCTGATCTCCTTTCCATACTAGTTTCAGTTAGCTTAGAAGAAGGTGCTTTAGTACGTTCTGTGCTGTGTGTTCTTCGCGATCTGTGAATAAAGTATTCAATTAAAAATGATGATGTTTAATCGGTGTGCGTTTTATGACATGCGTCAACAGCCCGATGAAGATATTCACTTGTTCTTTGAAAAAGTCAAGAAACAATTCGCCAAGTGTGCCTTCCTAGAGGACTGCCGGGATTGGATACTTCGTGATAAGGTCATCGCAGGAGCATCTTCGAAGGAGCGCGAAGAATTGCTGGCAGCTGATTTGACGAGCTCCCTTCAGGATCTAGTCAATGGAGTGAGCGGCTATAATAATCGCAATGGTAAGAATATAATTTAATTATAATTTAATAAATAATTAAAAATTGTTTAATGATAAAATATAAAAATTAATATTTTTTACCATATTATCTTTTACAGATCTATGCGACGTTCACGACACGTCGAAGGATTTATTCAGCGACGACGACGACGAGGAGGTCACCAGGCCATCAACGTACTTGTCATCATCGTCGATGGCGTTGGAAGTTACACCTTCACCGCAGCCACGGCCTCAACCGGCGATTGACGAAGGGGGTAAATGGGTAAGTGAGCTGTCAATCAATTACAGGATTAAATAGCGATTGAAAGATAATTTTTAAAATAATTATATATGTCGCAGACGCCGCCGCAGCCACAGCTTCGACCGAAGGCGCCGCCGCAGTCGCAGCCTCAATCGGCGCCACAGCCGCAGCCGCAGCTTCAACCGCAGCCGCAGCCTTAACCGCAGAATGACCTGGCATTGATAGCCGATAGCGATAGTGAGGAGGAACCACGAGTCGTCTCCAGGAAGAGGCTGAGAATAACCGAAGACAGCGACGAGGACGAAGACATCGACGACAGAAGGCCTTCTTCAAACGACCAAACTACCCGGACCTACTTCAGCGTATCGGAACATCGGGCATTGATTGGCTTTGTTGCGGACAACGTCCGCAACGTCAGTGGAGCTCTGTTGTCCGGGAAGCAGCCAAAAGAGGTTCAAGGACGGCGGCACAATTCCGTCCGGAAATTGTCCTTTAACATAAGGAAAAACTGGACGGAAGCCAAGCTCCGGCAATTCGGTGCCTCGTCAAAACAAATTGATTTGATATTGCGCTATAGAAGAAATCGTTCTGTAAATTAACTCATGTACAATATATATATATATAAAATATTAAGTCTTGTAATAAATAGAAATTAATAAAAAAAAAACAAATTATTTTTGTGTGTATAAATCATCAGTATTTTAAAAATATTGGTTTCGTTTTTGCAACTACATCAATCCTTTTCAGCACTACTTTTCCAACGTATTAATGAACTACCATTCTCAAGGCCACCGACTTGAAGGCGTGAAAACAAACTGAAAACGCAAAACGATACGTCACAAAAGAAAAAAGTATGAATTCTTAGTTTTTCAATTTTTATCACCTCGAAGTTAGATTTATGCCTTAATAAATGTGTCGCGAATTATATTCATTCAATTGTGATTGGATAGCTTGATAGCGATCCTAAAAATGATAGAAATTCTAGTTATCTCTCAAACGACTTTTTTCAAAATTTGACCTTCAAATACTCTTAGACCTAAAATGCTAGAATCATACGGACCCTGGATTTGGCCTCAGCGTGTCAAAATACATAATACATGCATGCCATTTTTAATACAGAAGACTATTTTTTATGTGTCTGCATAATAATTTCACGAAAGAGACGATTTTTCTAATTATAATACAGTGCAACGATTACCGAAAATCGTAGACTCGCGCGAGGTTAGCGAGCGGCTAAACGAGAGTAGCCGCGCTCGGTTCGCGAGAGAGAGAGAGAGCGTAGGGGCAATGACCGGGAGGGGAGGGTCCGACCGGTAGTATGACTGTGCCACTCAGTCAGTTCGTGCGCCTAACCTCCGTTTTTTCCGAGCCGTTCGAGTTTTCTTTGGTGTTTGTTTGCCGTTGACATTGCATTTTGCGTGGGTGAGTGCTAGCAGCAGCAGCAGCAGCAGTAGCAGCAGCAACAACTGCAGTAGCAGCAACAGAAACTGCAATAACAGCAGCATTGGTAGCGGCAACAACAACAGCAGCAACAGCATAAGAGGCAGCACAGCGGAGCAGCTTAGTAACAGCGAGTTATTCGGATACGGTTGGCCACCGTATCCACGCCGTCGTTGCGGTAGGTGCACCTTCTTTCCCGTAATTAATCATTGTGTTAATTTTGGCGTGCGAATCCGCGCAGCGAGCGCGAAGAATTTGTTTATCGCGTGCGAGCAGGTAGTTCGCGGCAATCGTGGTTTTTTCTCTCTCTCTCGAATAGCGTGTTTTGTCATTCACGCGTGCGTGCGTTAGACTCTCGGCTGATTCCCCGTGTAATTTAATTCGTTAAATAAAGTGTATCTTTCTCATTATTTTCGAGTTTGTTAGTCGTTATTTTGTCATTCCTTTGTCCGGAGGTCGCGCCAGTGTTTATTTTCAGGAGATTCGAATTCGCCGGTTGCGAAGCACGAGTCGTGCAAATATCGATAGACGCGAGTCGATAACTTAGGTTCCGGAGGCGGCCGCACGAGCGCTACTAGTACGAGCGACAGCGCCGCCAAGCGGCAAGTTGGGGGAACCCAACTCGGAGAAGTAGAAGACTCTGCGCAGGCGCACTTCGGGGCAAGGTAGGTCAATGCGCATCGAGCGCATAGATAACAAGGCGTCGTTTAGTCGCATTTAAAGGTACGTTTGCGTGATTTTAGACTAAACGGCAGCCTGTTACAACAGAAAAATCTACCTTAATTTTCCACCTGGACACCCATCCTAAAATCCAGTTATAATCTTTATGGAATTTATACGAAAATTCATTCGGATTTATCAAAAAATCCACCGGTAATTCGCTTGAAACTCATCTAAATTTGTTTAGAAATTCACTTGGATTTTGCACAAAATTCATCTGAATTTTTCATAAAATCTACATGTAAATTTATGCTGGAAATCTATTTGAAAGCCACATGAGATCCATACGGAATCCATAACAATCCATTTACCAATCCACCTAAATATTGATGAGGAAATTCACTCTCGATTATCAACTTGATTTTTTTAACGGGGTATTTAAAACGTTTCAAAAACATTTTACTAACGTTTCAGTAATCAACTTATTCTACTTACACTTAAATATTATTTCAATATTTTTTTCACAAAAAATATTAGCACAGCACAAAAGATCAACATCCAAAAGCTTTTTCAAATCGTAAGAGAACAACTGTGTGAAAAAAGAAGCACAAGTCATGCATTTTTCGGATACAATTTCTAACCCGCATACATCGTCTTCCACGGCGTAGAACGATATAATTGCCGTCGCGGCAGGACTTGATTAATGCACACGCGACGTCATCTAATGTCCTTCTACTATCCGACACATACTCCTCGCGATTATGCGATTTATCGTTTCGCTCCTATGATTTTACATCAGATGCGTTTGTTTATTCGGCGGTTTCGGCTTGCGGTTGCTATTGTTTGACCCAGCAGGGTTTATCCTGAACTTTACCAAATGATTTATGAGCTGCACGTTGTTGACTTTGATGCGTAAATTATTCGCATTTGCAAACGCCATGAGCTTTGTTCCTTCCCGTTTTTTTGACTTGACAAGCTCTCATTTTTATTTGCATTTAAAAATTGAACGTTCTTGTCCCGTTGGTCCATTGTTTGTCGGGGAAGATTCAGAGCGAGCTTTTTTTTTATAGGAAGAGGCTCTTAGAGCTTGATGAAAACCAACTGTGTGCCATTTCAGAGGCCAGCTCTCACTCTCGAAAATAAAAAATTATTTGGAATGCACAACGACCGCACAATTCACGTGCCCAATGTGCACTTTTTCCCGAGATTACTTGTTTCGAAACAATTCTTATTGGAACGAAAATGGGTTACAGACGTAAAAATGGAATTCCGATATTTTTAATGCATCCCGGTACATTTATTTTGAACGAAGTAAAAAAACAATATGTTGTAAAGTGAAAGATCGAGATTGCACAATACAGAGGCAGAGTGCTTGACAAATAACCTGCTAACTTATCTCGATTTCACTTTTATCGGCAATTAACCCAAACGGTTAGTTTTACTTCAAAAAATAACGTATTCCTAGGAAGAAAGTTAAGAGTCCGAGTCATAAGAATGAAAATGGCCCACTAAGCGAACATTAAAGTCGAAATTAATAAAGTCATATAAATTAACTCGTCCCAGGTGGCCGCATATTTGGAGATACCTCGTAAACATCGTCGTCAAAATATAAAGTTAGAGCGAGCGGAACTAGCGACAACGCCTTGAATAACAATGTCGCTAATCGAGGTATAACAGTCGTTATGCTAATTTTATGGCTTTTCTTCTTTTTTTTTCACCGAGCATCTTGTTGTTGTCCAATTAAAATTGTGTTTAATATCGTGATTAATCATATCATGCTAGATTATGTAACATTGTACGTGCTGTTCAGTCGCTGCTCGCGTCTTATACGTTCCTCGACACTAGTCTCGGTACTAACCATAAAAAATATAAAAACGCAAGACCGCCTGCTCCCAAGATTGGCATGCCGACGTTTCCCCGAAATGCCCTGTGTCCGTGGTGAACTTGATCGTGTTATAAAAAAAGGTGCTTTTACGCGCAGTAACTTTCAGGTAACTGACCGTCCGCACGGACAAGAGATAGGGAAATAAATTTCCTACTACAATATTTTTTCCTTTTTGCGCACTCACCGCAAGATAAGAGCAACGGGCTCAAGGAGCAAGTCTTGTCTGAAAGTCAGAGCTATGCGGAAAACAGGAAGTCTTCTTCCGTGCTATCTCTATATTTGTACAAGTACGCGTTCATCCGGCAACATCAAATAGCTTGCTACTACCTACGACATTGTAAAAAGCTAGCGATGACGATCTTGCCACGCTAGCAGAGGCTGATACAGCTTCTCTGGGGTAGTGTCAAACACTCGTTCCCCCAGACCGGCCGGCCGCTAGGCGATGCCTGTCTCCGAGGCATCCAGAACGAATGGTCTTTTAATCGCAAACTCTGTAAAATCCCACTAAGCTTAACCTTAATATACTGCAATTGTAATTTTCTAATCCGATATAGATTCCTTCGCAATCTATATTTTATAAGTGCACTTTCATTCTATTTTATTGTTAATTATTTTATTTATAACTATTTGTAAGCATTAGCTTAAAGCTTTTATTCGCCTTACCTTAAGTTTTTTTAAATCATTAAATCTGCTTACATAATATAAGCCTTCTCTGTTTATTTATTGAAACCACACCCTCTATTTTAGATCATCTATCCTAGCCATTCTTTTCTTGATTTATTAACTTTTATTGATCGTCCTTTCATGATTTATTAACATTTGATTTTATTGTTCACTTCTTATTCGATATTTTGAAAACTATAAGCGCTTTCGAAAGTACAAATAACGTTGAAATGAATATTGACTAGTTGGAATGCGGTTGATGAACTTTATAATGTTATTTACCCTCGTCATTTCGAATTATGCAAAATTTAGATATTTTCTTAAATGACCCTTCGCTCCGTTCTCTCCGGCTTTATAAGAAAGATACATAATACGTCAAAAACTTTTTACACACATACGAAAAAATGTAGAAACTAATTTTACTTTCAAATAAAAGTATTCTCTCTGGTTTGATTAGATTCAGCTCGTTCACATTTCATTTCCATTTTCAAATATCTGACTAAACCGTCACTCGTACCACTGAATATTCACGTCTAATTACCTACGATTTCT